AAAGAGAGGCGCAAGGTGAGATGAAATGTCAAAGACATTCTAGAAGAAGGATCAGCAGGTAACAACAGGGGTTCAAATAAATGTCAAAGACATTCTAGAAGAAGGATCAGCAGGTAACAACAGGGGTTCAAATAAATGTCAAAGACATTCTAGAAGAAGGATCAGCAGGTAACAACAGGGGTTCGAAATATAGTGATAACATCTCATAGAAGTGTGTGGATTATTCTGGGATTACGTACATAATGTAACATGCTATATTGTATGTAGTTCAGTTTGTTCCACTGCACTGAAACTGCTTTACCTCCATAATGCAAGAGCTCATATTAACTGAAATGTTTCGCAATGGCTGTAGTACTGCGAGGAACAAATCCATGAAGTTCAGCGCCATCTACTTGAAACTGAGGAGTGCCTGGCTGTTTCACTGTCTGGTGAGAGGAAGAAGGATGTATTGATTGAACAACTCAACAAGGTATGTAGCTTAGAGCAATAACTGGGTCATAGAGAAAATATGTAGAATGACTTATTGTAATCATTCCATGATATCAACGTCATGCAATTCGAAATATTATTTGTGTTGCTGCACCTGAAGATATATCTAGAATTGGATCCTCGCTTTAGAAATAGCCAAAAGTCTCATTCCATGAAACAACTGCAGATACCTAAGCAACACAGTTGCTGAGGCCTCAACTTAGTCAGAAAAAAAAATAAAAATCCCTGTTTGCCTACAATTATTGTGAACGTCAATAGCCGCATTCACACGTAGCAAGAAATTCGGTATTTAGCGTTCACACGAGGCAAAATGCGCGGTCCAAGAAATACGGTATCTAAACAGATCCGGTATTTGTTGAAATACGTGGCTTCCCAGACCCCGAATAATTTGCCGTGCTTGAGAAATACCGGATCTCTTGGACCGCGCATTTCCTCGTGTGAACGCTAAACACCGTATTTCTGAAGCCGCGTATTTTATAGACTGGTCCGCGCTCGACAGTTCCAGTGTAACGCGAGTGGAACTGTCGAGCGCGGACCAGTCTACGTATTTTATCGGCAGTTGGTGCACATTGCATTGTTTATTTCGCATTGTTCGCAGCTCGCAAATACGGCATTTCTGGAGCCGCGAATCAGCGTGTGAACGCTCGGTCGCGTATTTGTCTCAGATTCGGTATTTCGCAAATACCGTATTTCTGGAGCCGCGAATCAGCGTGTGAACGCTCGGTCGCGTATTTGTCTCAGATTCGGTATTTCGCAAATACCGTATTTCATTAATACGAGGTCTCGTGTGAACGAGGCTAATACAACCATTATAAAAAATGTTCATGAATGAATGAATTTTTCCCCTCTAGTCCATTAGAATGATATTGTCAAAGTGGAAACATAGAGAAAAAGATGAAGAGGACATAGCAGAGAAGGGTAGAGCAGCGCTGGACAAAGCTCAGCAAAATGTTCAGAAACATGAGCAGGTGAGAATGTAAACCTAAGGAAAATGCTTCTATTATCCTACTGATGGGCTCACTTCTTCCCTGCTTTGCTACAGCAGTGGAAGCAGCTTACACCACTGTTCTGTACCCGTCATTGAGGGTCCCAAAGAGGCTGGAATTGGTATTCTGTTTAGTCCCTTGCCCTTTAGATATTTTGCCTTGTTTTAGCTTTTTGTGTGAACATGTGCAGTTGTAGGAGTCAGTGCAGCTATGAAAAGAACTTGCTTGGGCCACAGTGTGCAGTGCATCAACTCAGTTGAAATTTGTTTGAATGTTTTAGCGAATAGGTCGGTTGGAGGCTGAATTATCCCTCGTCGAAGATCAGTTGTCAGCGGAAAGAAACCTGAGGCAGGAAGATCGGAAAAACTGGGAGAGAATGGTATGTGTCATTTCGGCTAATCGAAAACTGTTGCTTGCTGTATGAATAGTACATCAGGTGAACATTTGAAGTGGATCATACAAATCCACATTTCGCACAAGAATTCATTATTCAAGCTAATGGTGAAAATCAAGGTCATGGTAAGATTCTATTGCTCTTGTTATGTTAAATGGCTGCTGTCACAATAATTTAGAAATAACTAAAAGAATATGCAATGAGATTGTACAAAACCAGCTGAGACGTAAATGTAATATGAATTTTGTGCATACAGCTACTTTAATTTTAATTTTTAACAAGTCAATTTAGAAGGTATGCAACTCTATCGCAAAGAAATTATGTCAGTAAGCCTAGAAATGGCGTTAGTTCTTATTGTGGCATCACTGATAATTATTGCACTGTCGTTCTTACTGATAAAGTCTGGATTTGTGCTACAGATGCAGCAGCAAGAGAAGTCTAAGGAAGAGGCAGTGCAGCAGTTGAAGCTGGAGGAAGAGCGATCTCATACCCTTAAACGTGCTCTAAACGAGTTGCAGTGCAAGGTTGAACAAGCAGACGCCACTAGCATGAGACTAGAACAGATACTTGAGAAGGTTGTCACTTGCTTTATGCAGTTATTGATATATTGTAGTGTAATTTAAAAAAAGAAGCTTTTTAAATTTACATTAGTTTCATACATTGTACACACTTCACTAAGAACATTAAAAAAAACAAATACTGAATGACAGTTCTATTGCATTTTGAAATATTCAAATGTTTTGAGCTAGAACATCTGTGTTATTTATTTTACACCAAACATATTATTTACCTATTGGCTATTGCTTTGTGTGGGTTTAGTGCTTATCTTATCAATACTCTCTACGTTTAGGAAAGGCGAGAGTGGCAAGAGAAGCTTACAGATGTGATTCGCCATGCAGAAGAATCAAATAAGCGTTTAGAAGCCGGACTTGCTGAGACAATGGTGAGTTTATTGTGCAGCACCAATGATTCGTTTAATGTTGGTGCCTTATTACCAATCCAGTACTAAAACTTTGGGTAGGGTGATATTGATAAACAGCATGCTTCATCTTATGCCACATTTGCTCTTCGTAGAACACGTAGTACACTGACAACTTTCAGAAGGATGAACATTAATTGTTATTGCAGAGGAGCAAAGATGGACTTGAGAAACTTGGCGGAGAGTTACAGGCAGCACTAAGAGCAGCCAAAGGGCACATTATGAAGATTGAGTCCGACTTGGAAGTGGCAGCACGGCAGAGCGTAGGCTCCTTTTTATATAATATTAGTTTGCATAATGTGTAATCAATTTTTATGGTAATTTATTACCGTAAATGCCACTAATAGATAGGTGCTGAAAAAAAAGATTATGAAATTGGGTTGAAATGAGATTTGGCAGTGTTATAAAAATATGCAATTATCCTAAAGATGCCTACATGCATAAATTCCTCACTAATATACTGCAGGCAGTTGGGATGTGACCTAATGCAATGGGAAATAATACAGGAGAAGATAATAGCCCGTGTTTAGCTGTAACTCTCCTAATCATTGACAGAAGATCCAGTCGAAGATAGCAAGGCATTATGTGGCGCCACCTTTTGTGGATAAATCGATATATTGAATGACACTTTTTCGTCAATCACATATTGAATGATAAATCATTTGCCTTCAAATCAATATGTGATTATTCCAGTTGTGAGTAAAGGTAAACATTGTCATTCTAAAGGAGAGCATGAAGGTTCAGGCAGGCATTACAGAAGCAAAATTCGAGGGAGAGATGGCTACTGTGGTGACAGAACACAAAGCTCAGCTCGCAAGATTGGTATGCACCCTGCATCTCAAGGACTACATCTAATTTAGTCTGACAGAAACTGATCATTTGCTTAACCACTAAATATGACAACCTATATAAGACATTTGTGAATTAATGATTGTGTACGTACAGATAATAGAGTATAATGTACAAGTATAGGTAATAGAAGTTATTATTGTGTTTTAGGTTGAGCAGGTGAAGGAAGATACAAAAGGGAAAATGGCACAGACTGAAAAGGAGCTACATGCTATCTACCAAAAGCAAGTGAACACGCTGATTGAGAAACATGCTCATGAATTGGATCGGCAGTCTGTAAAGTACGTTGATGTTTGCTATTGCTTGCATTGATATCCAATTTCAATTGCTCTGCAGCAAGTGTGTAAATTGGTGAAGTGCATTGAGCACATGGACAGGTTTCATACAGTATTAGAAAGTTTTCATAGGCTGAACCCAATAAGAACATGTATTTTTCGAAATGGCACTTTCATGACGTTATCACAAATTAAGAGATAGGCTGTGCAAATGGAGACCTGGTGCAATGAATCGTCCGATTGGGCATAACTGAATTTTTAGTTTTATTTATTTATTAAGGTATACTTTGTATGCAATTCAGGATCTCAAAGGGCCCTTTCATACATTATCATTAATTAATGATGTAAAAAGTCTATAGGAAAGCAATTTCTCATGAAATAGGGGGAATGTTTTTACTTCTTTCAGATTTCATAAAGAATTGAAGAAAAAAGAGACTGAGTTCAGTAAGCAGGAAAAGGCGAGACAAGAAAAGTTTGAGGAAGCCGTTCGTGTCATAGTGAAAGAACGCAGTGAAAAGGATCGACTAAACAAGTCACGGTATGTTAAATAATCCATCGTGCAAACATCTCTAAGCCTAAAAGCGGTGTGATTGTTTAAACTATCGAAGGATGAGCTGAGATTGCACAGATAAACCCCCTGCATGATTAATTGATGTTAAATTCTGCTTACTCAAGTGGCACCACATTCACCAATACAACAATTGTCAAACCTTATAGCGACACTACATTTGGTGGTGATACAGAGTTTTACCTTGTGATCAGTAGGACATCCTTTGGTGCAAAAAGGCAAAATAAGCAATTTGCGATTTCAGGATGGAGGTAGCGAATACACTTCAGGCCCTGATGAAACTCGTGCTAAATGGAGCCAGCCCCATCATGGGGAATAGCCCCACAACTTCGCCGCCCAACTTCCCCGTCCCACTACCCGCCGTGGAGGAACCGGTAGTGGCAAAACACGTGGCTCCACTAGCAGCCATGCGGCCGAACGTTCCATCCCAGCTGCCCGCCGACCAGAGCCCTGCATCCGATGTCGCCACCGGTGCGGGAAAGCAGTATAGCTTTGGTGTCGCGACGGCAGTCGGCGACAGCAGCAGCTCACGCAAAGAGCGGCCTATGTTCATAGACAGTGCTTACATGTCGTTTCCACCGGGCGAAAGCCAGGAGTCAAGCCGCCTGGCCATCGGCAGTGCACACGGCTCGCCTGTGGTTTCATCCCAGCATGCTGCTGCAGTCACGGTGGGCGTGAATGGGAAACCAAGTCCGACTAAGACTCAGGGTATACTTATAGCAATCACTGTGCACAAGTGCATCGAAGTTAAATAGAAATAGATCGCAACCGACTCTGAAGGAAATCTTGCATTTTCTGACTTGCTGCTAAAGCAGTAGCTGTATATGCCAATATATATAAGACCAGGGCATAAGGTTTTTATCCATATCTTAGCTGTGTTGTTCACATAATGACACCCTTATTTTCTTCCAATCCAATATATATATATATATATATATGTATATATACAAATTATACCAAAATACATAATCTGATTGCTTCCTTAGTAATATCGTTTGCATTGATAATATATTAATAATAATTATGCCAACCCACATCATATGTGTTTTGAATACATACGAGTTTACCTGCAAATTAGATGCCAGCGAACGAGAAATCACTGAGAAAAGCATTCAGGACTGCAGCACTGAAGAGCTGAAATGCTACATGGAAAACCTGCTGCAGCAACTGCCAAGGACTCCTACCAAGCAACAGACGTCTAGCCAGGTAACGGCTGCGCATGGTCTACACGGCCACGCTGTAATACGAGATGTAGTATATGTACGTTATAGAATTATGGCGGCCATTTCGTATCGAGTGATGCATTACGGCATGCTTGCTTACAGGGTGACTTCTGTGTTTCAGTATGCCACAGAAGACACGCGACTACATCAAGCCATGCCAGGACACGTTCTACACGATTCTGAAGCACAGACCGGTAGTAAATTTTAAGTCTCTAGTGTGGTAATAACTAACAGCAGGCAGTTGATGGGCGAATCAGAGACTCGCGGCAATGAACCAGGGCGTCTATATTTCGTGGCCGACAATAAGAGAATAATAGTAGCAAATCAGAGAATTCTAACAACGATGCATTAGCGAATCCGAAAATTGTGATGAAGAGAATCGTAACTAAAAAACAGAGCACACAAACGGAGAAATGCATAGAAGTGTCGACTTCTAACAGTCGAGTGCGTACATTCTTCAAGGAAAAAAAAATCGGAACGGATTTAATCGTCGGTCGCACCTTTTCAGACCCTCCGCTTTCTGCTGTCCTGTCTCCGCAGCAGATGAGAGAGGTTGCCACTGTTCTAGGAATCCACCAAGGCGACTCCGACGTGTCAGCTTCCTACCTGACAAGCTGCAGCGAAGCCAGGAGCGCATCTTCGTACCTGTTGCACGAGAGCCTCCTGCATGCTGACGCCGGAACACGTCTCACCGGTGTGTCTGTGCGGGAAGGTGCAATGTTTCCCCTCACGAACCCAGCAGGAGCGGGTGGTGCCAAGCGTGAGCTGAGCTTTGGCGAACAGTTGACTGCGGATGCCGGCAAGTCTAGCCCGGAGAAGGAGGCAGGCCAATATAGGCATGCCGATAAGAAAACGTCGTTGAGAAAGAAAGATAAGAAATCCGTCGTTTGGAGGTAGGGGAGAGAGTTGTCGGGTATTTGTAGGAGCCGCGCTGGTTTGGTTTGACGAAGTTACTGGTAGCAGGTGCGTTTGTGGCGTTCATACACATCTGATGCATACCCAAGAATATCTGCTACAGCTTCTACTGCTCTCTGTTGTGTGCAGCAGTTGGCCAACCCTCCGTTTGTCTTTCACTTTGACACCTGGCACCAAAAATGGTCAGGTGACCTTTTTTAGATTGAAGTTAAATTTACACACCCTGTTGTGTGTGTATACTATTTTTTAATTTTTACGTGTAATTTTTATTACGAGTGTTGTACAGCGCTACATGTTTCCATGTCGGCATTACAATATAGCAGAAGTTAATGGTTGCATATGCCTACATGTGTGCAATATTTTATGTATGGTATTTTTACCTCAACTTCTGTCAGACTGAGATTCAGAATATTTATTTTAACATCTCAGGCAATATGCTGTTTTGTAATCTCTGTGCATGTTAGAAATATTTCTTAGTAAGTTTTGTGTTTCGAATTGCGTTTGAAACATTTTTGTATAAACACTGTGAATTGGGTAAAAACCAATTAAGAATTCGATATGATTCCCCTGCATGAGTTTATGTAATTATATTTATGTAATGCTATAGTCTTTTAAAATTGATTAGAATTGCAAGTAATACTTGTGATGACAACAAAATGAAATTTGACAAAATGTTTGTTTTGTTAAGACTTTTTGTTTTCTGTTGTAATTGTTTTTAAATATTAAGGATATCGATGATAAGATTACATTTAGACAAAAAAGTATGTAACTCAACAGATTACCTGCTCTGTTATACACATATGTATAATAATATATCGATAATATATAATATAATGTATCGTTTCATGAAACGAATGCACGTTTGATATGAGAATCATGCTGGCTGCACATGCGTTTTATTTTAGTATAGAAAGAGCACATAAACAATTAGCGTCGGTTCTCTTGAAAATATGCATCTATTTAAGCACTAAATGGTCAAACAACAATATCATTAAGCTAATATATAATGTTCCCTAACATTTCACCTAAATCACCGCGCATGCTACTAAAGATGCAAACGTTTGTAATATCAGAAGTTCATTATAAACATTCGATGGTTGTTATCTCCTTGGTATTCTCACCACATGTCGAGAGAGTAAGGAGAAAGAGGGACCTGGGAGGGTGCATATGCAGGAGAGGAGAGGACCTGGTAGGGGGGCATATGCAGGAGAGGAGAGGACCTGGTAGGGGGCATATGCAGGAGAGGAGAGGACCTGGTAGGGGGGGCATATGCAGGAGAGGAGAGGACCTGGAGGGGGCATATGCAGGAGAGGAGAGGACCTGGTAGTGGGGCATATGCAGGAGAGGAGAGGACCTGGTAGGGGGGCATATGCAGGAGAGGAGAGGACCTGGTAGTGGGGCATATGCAGGAGAGAAGAATACCTGGTAGGGGGCAGGAGAGGAGAGGACCTAGGAGGGTGCATATGTAGGAGAGGAGAGGACCTGGGAGGGAGCATACGCAGGTGAGGAGAGGACCTGGGAGGGGGCAGGAGAGGAGAGGGCCTAGTAGGGGACATATGCAGGAGAGGAGAGGGCCTAGGAGGGGACATATGCAGGAGC